GGGGGGGAGTGAAGTGAGAAAAAGAGGCAAATGAGGGATAGTTTGGAGCTGAAAGAGATAAGGAAACCACAGTTGTGTGGGCCAGTAAGGAGCAATCAAAAGGACCTAACACAGAGCGACATGGATGATCAAGATCATCCTGAGAAGAAGTCAGATGGGAGGATAAGCATAAAGGTACCGATTGGTCCAATTCTGGCTGAGAGCATCCACAGCTAAGGCCGAGATGAATAGCCGCAGACCAGAAAAGAGTTAACTTGGTATTGAGGTAAGTAGCAAATGCAGATGAGGAGTACCCCATTAATTGCAAAGCCACCACTCCATTGGATAAACGTTGTCTGGTCAGGAAAGGTGATCCCCTACAAGATTGAAAGCACCCAGAAATGAGATGCAAGGAGACTTATCTCCAGCATGTGGGCCCAAAACAGGAGTTCCAAGGTTCGACAGAAAAGGGAACAGGAATGGGTTCCCTCCTTGGTGATTTATATAAGCCACCACTGTGGAATTGTCTGAATAGATTGTGACTAATTGATTCTTGCAATAGGAAGAAAGTGATCCAAAACATGTTGTAGCACTAGAAGCTCCATGATGTTGACATGATAAAACCTCTCAGCTGGAGACTATTGTCTAGAAGCCTCCTTCTGATTGTCTCATGCCACCCAACTGTGGAGAGAAACATCTGTGAACAGAGGCAATTCCAGACAAGGTGGAGGGAGCAGTAAACCCGTCATCTAGTTGCCCTTGTTCAAACACGAATGCAGGTAGTCTAAAAGGGAAGGATGAAGAGTAATTAGAGAGTACAAAGGATCCTGAGCGAGATTCCATTGGTCATGAAGAGTCCACTGAAGAGACCACATATATGCCCAACCCAAGAGGATAAGTGCTTCCATAGAAACCCACGTAATCAAAACCTGTAGAACCTCATGAGCAGAAAGAGAAGGAGTAGCAAGAGTGTGGAGAACTGAAAGCTCCATTGAACAGAGTCGAATTGGAGAAGGTTGGACCCAACTGAGGTAGGTGTTGAAAACACACCAAAGTGGACAAGATATTTGGTAGGTAATGAGAAAGACTTTTTCAACTTGAGAATCCAACCCATTTGAGCTGCTTCTGTTAGAAGTAGATGAGTGTGTTGTGAAGATTCCAGTTTGGAATGAGCTAACAGAAGTCAGTCGTCTATTACATGTGTAAATGCAACCCCCCGAGCATGCAGAAATTGGGCAAAGGCTTTAACCACCCGACAAAAGACATACAGAGCCAAAGCAAGCTTGAAGGGCAAGGCATGAAATTGATACACAAACCTGTGGTGGACAATCCAAAGATAGCATCTGGACTGATGAGACTAGGGAAGGTTGACTGACAGGTTCAATAGCTCTCTGTGAAAGAAGAACCAGCACTGCCTTAAATAAATGCTGACTGGTAGTAGGATCCAGAGGTAACGGGAAGAATAGAGATACAGGAGACAACAAGGGGAAGGAAAAGGAACAAAACCTGGATCATTCAAGGACTGGTAGTGAATTTCTGCCATAGGGAAACAAACACGCCCCCACTCGATAGTCACCAGTACAGTTGGTGACTATGAAACCTATGTCAAGAAACACGATGACTAGCTAAATCCCTAGTGATAGGAACAGGTAAAGGATGGAAGGGTGCAAGACAGGAACAGGAAAAGGAGAATGTAAGGGCACAAAAATAAGACAAGCAAACATCCAAAGATGAAACAGTCGAATGTTGTCTCACAGGTTCCACACGTGATTCCAAAGACTCGGGAATATCTCCAAAACAGACCAATGGAGAAAAGGAGCCATCCTTAAGTCCCGAAGATAAGTGGATGATAAACGAAACTGTGACAAGATATCATCCGTCCCAATAAGATCCAAAAAGCAAAGAAACCACATATGAAGAGATAGTGCTGAAGAGGACAACCGTGTCAACGTGGAAGTAATGAGGGAAGTTATGAAAAAAAAAACCTCTGGAGATTGGTGGAGTGCCTCAGAAAGAAGGTGTATGGTGGATAAATACTGTAGGAGAGCAGTAAGGTTAAGACGAAGGTGGGAAAACTGTGCGTGAGATAAACAGATAAGATTTTCTGGGTCAGCCCCCACTTACAGGCGAAAGTGAATCCAACTGCTGGGAGTCGAGAAAAGGTTGATCCGTCTGATGATAAGCCAAGGCATAATGATCCGAGGCCTGTGGAGGGCAAGGAATGACAGCACCCACTCTTCATTGAGAAACGTAATGCTCAGCAGGAACCCTGATGCCAGGACGAGGGAAACAAAATATTCTGAGGAAGGGGGTGTCTTGTAATAAAGGAGCAGCAGGATCATAAGAAATTGGGGTAATGGATAAAATAGAACACACCTGACATATCATATCTAAAAAAGCTGAGTTAGGCCTACCAAACTCCACAGGAGAGGCTTGGGAAGGCACAGCATAAGAAGGTTGAGGGAAAAGGCTGTCAAATTCTTCCTTGTCATGAACAGGTTTGAAAGGTTAATGAGGAAGTCGAGCGATATCGGGAAAAGAATGTCGACTCACATAACGAATTATAGCCAAAAATTCCTCAGTCAATGTCCACTGACCTGAAACTTGTGTAAGTGTACTGGAAGTAGGTGGAAAAAATCTGAAGTGGTGACATAAACTTCAGAATTCATCGTAAACTACAAAGAATTAAAAAATTAACAAAGAATGATAAGTTATTGCATCAAAACTACAGAAAACAAACTGTAGCAAAATATTTAAATGAAATTACTACTTCACAGAAAATTTAAAGAAAACACATGAAGTGAACACAATCAAACAACGTCTGCACTAAACCACTACCTAACAAAAAGTGATAGTTCTGTAGAATCGAACAGAGGGAGTCACATGCGTCAGGACGGTGTGTTGTACTCCAATTGGTGGAGGGTTGTTGCATGATTTACATGCGAGACGTGGATGAACCATGTTGATTCAAGGCTTGTAGCATGTGAAAAACTTTTTGCACATAGATGGCAGCACTGAACGAGAATAGCTATACATGCAAGTGGAAGTAATGTACCATATCAGAATTCTGCCTAATGACATTTCTTATATAATATTACTAAAATTCATATACAAAAGTACACCTATGGACAAACTTATTTCTACTTATTGGGTATTCACTTAATACATATTTATCTTACTAAAACCTCAAAACTACATACATCCTTCCCTGGTTTCCTGTTCCTATTCTGTTTATCCATAGCAGCACCAATTGTTCTCCCTCTGTTTCAGTAGCATGCCTTAACGCTGGTGTTTCTACAGCATACACTTCCTGATTCTCATCAATAAAAGACAAACTGTCTTCATCACTGAATGTCCGGTGAAATCCATCATCTCCTACTTCAGTCAAAATCATCTGTGAAGTAATTAATAATCAGTTAATCAAAATATACCAGGATACATTTCATGCACTAGTCTAATAAGTTAATTACTGTTTAAAACAATAATATTAATAATTGATTCAAGACACTAAAGATAATGTCTCACGTAAAAATAAAGTTTAAGTATTCTGACAGTCAGTCATTTAGCTGCTTTACATTAAATTTAAATACAATGTATACTATTAGAAAAATTAGATAAAACTTTTATTATGAGTTTTGACATACTGTTACAACAGTTATAAAATAAATAACTACTAACTTTTATAATAAAACATATATATTTAACTACTCAAATATGACAATAGCTCAAACTCTAGATCTGTGTACTATTTTCTAAGGACTCCAAACTACAAAATGGCTACTTCTATCATGACATAATTACATAAAGTCAGATTTACTATAACTAAATAACTGTTAATGAATAAAAAAATGAAGGTTTTTTTTTGTACAAACATTGGGGCCCTTTCTTCCCCTTGGCTTCTTTACCCAGTAACTGTCCACACACACGGTGTGGATTTATCTTCTAAAATATTCCTTATGCCTTGCACCATACATGAATGTCTCCACTTCACAGTGACACTTTTCATAGTCCACAGCACAGGCATCAATGGATTCCTCACAGAACATGACATACAATCCTGTTAGATAACAGCTTTATTATTCAATATTATAGCTTCTTGAAGTTACTGACACAAAAACTTGTAGAAAATACTAGGACCCTTCCATAAGTATTTATGTGCAACAAGTTTATGACAAAATCCAGATAAATCAAAGAAGTTAAACTTGTAAACACAGACAGTAGCTTTCTCCACTGTCAAATGCTACAACAACTTTTGTCAGCAACTGAAATGTCATAAACTCAACTTCAAACACTAAAAATCTGTCTCTCCTTTATCCAATCAACCTTTTTATACTTACTGGATCCTTCTCAATCTTTCTGGGAAAGACTGGAATTCACGTGTTGCATGTCACAGTTGTAATATTTAATGAGATCAGTCACTATGTCATCTAACACGATATAGCGAATCAAGTTGTTCTGACTCATTACTCAGTACATTACCATTACAATAATTGAAATAACAAATAACTACACTTTAACATAAGATACCTTCCCTCCCCTACAAGGGAAAAAAAAATGTATTACTTTTTTTTTTTCAAAGTCACTATTCTTAACATTACATAAAAATTATACAAACTTTTGCACAAATAGTTAAACTAGTTTCTGAAAAGTTAACTTCTATATAGGGCTATCACCAAAAAATATTGATAATGAGCAATACTGAATTTCTAAATTAAATTATTGCAAATAAAAACCCCATCTTAAAATACATTATTGATAAAATATCCCATCTATAACACACTTGGATGACTTCCACGTGTCATCCAGTGGTCTCCATTTATGTATCAACACACCATTATGGAAATAAAAACAGCCTGGGAACATATCTGCTTCCTTTTCGGATACAACTTCTGCACACAAAGTCTGCAAAGTCAAATCAGTTTTTTTTGTTATTCCACTGATGTCTTCTTATCAGCCTTGAAATCAGCTGCAGGGATGTTACTGTCATCAGTCTCTAGATCTACAGAGAAAGTGTCACTTATGTTGACCACATCATGTGTATCTGTAGCAGAGTCCATTCTAACTTGTGGGCTGCTATGTGGGACAGAAGTCCTGGTCTGAGACCTAGTCACAGTTCAATCAGGAAAAATCCCTGGATAATCTTTTCAAAGTCTTCCGTCTTATCATCAACAACAGATTCAGTGTGAACAATCGACATAGCATGTACTTTGTCACCTGCAATATTGTTACCTAGCAACAGAGAAACTTCCTCTATCGGCAGCATCAAAAAAAAAGTCCTACTGTAACAGGACCTACAATGTACTTAAAATCAAGGTGAACCAAATACAGAAGTACTGATGTGTAATCACCACAAATACCTTGAATAAGGACACTCTTCTCTACTGATGTGAACATACTATCAGGAATATAGGTGTGTCTCAGCAACATCTGTGCTGCACCAGTATCTCTAATTTAACATTTTCCTAAATTGAAAATGTATTTCCAATAATACTTACCTCTGCTGATACTTTATATATTCCTCGATATTCACTTTGCCCATCTAAGCATTGCTCCAGTTTTTATACCCCACTTACATGGCCTTGGCAATTTTTGGCCTTGTGACACTCTCCACCTACATCAATGTATCCTCTATCCTGGTACTATATATAAACACCTCACTCAGATAATGTAACCACTTTTTCTACACTTACACCACCCCAGTCACTAACACTGGCTCTTAGTGGGGAGGAAGGGTGGGAGAGTGTCAGCAGAGGTAAGAATTACTGTAAATATGTTTTCAATTTAGGAAAATGTTAACTTTCATAACATACTTACCATCCGCCTACATTTTAGAATCCACACTGAGAAGGTGGAGGGGCTGGTAAGGGCATTACCCATACAAAAAACATCTTCATAGATCAGGGGTGTACTTAGATAACAGTGATACACAAGTGGTGGAACCGCACTACATCCAAAACAGATATGCTCTTCACCTGGAACGTAGTTCCTGTATCAAGGGTGGAATAGAACATAAGTAATCATTATTATAGGCCAGCTTCAACCAGATAGCTGAGGTTCCACAACTTGGGGTTGGAATTAAGGGGTCTTAGTCCCTATATCCCACATTGGTTGCTAGGGCAATTGGACTACAACACTATATATATATATATATATATACATATGTACACACACACACACACATACACTTTATAGCCATAGAGTGATGTATTCTGAGCCACCAAAATTACAACAAGAAAGTATGCAACACTGAAGTGGACAAACTTTCTCTTCCACCTGAAGATGTTTGAACGACAACACCCCGGGCTCAGAATGATGGAATCATGTATGCCTTACTCAACCAAAGGAACAAAACTCATTCGGTTTGGAATTATGAACATTCATCCTCACTCCACACTCAAATGGACAAGGAGCATTTCACTTGCCCCCAGAATTATGGAGAGGACATGAAACACTGTGCTCAACCAAGGACCTTGGATAGGACCAGTCTGCGTTCAGAATTACGAGGAGATAGTGGACCTCCTTTGATGATCAATATACTAAATTGACATTGATAAAAAAGAAGAGCCATGCACACCTGAACTAGATAGCTTGAGGTCAAATCGGAGCTGGTATTATGAGTAGGCTTCTGTAGAGGCTGGTGCCTCTCCTACAGACATCTAGGAAAAACGTCCAGGGACCCAGGTAGGAGGGCCCCCAACTTCACCCTCTTCTTCAAGAGTGGAGGAAAACACTTGAACACTCTTGAGGAAAAGCCTCTATCCACCACCCCAGTGACTGAAAACTGGGTGTGGTAAGGACTCCCTAGCTTCGCTAGTAGAATCTGGGGGGGTAATGCACTTTAGGGAGTCCTGAGGAACAGTGCTCTGGAAACAGTGCAATATGCGTAAACCAAGTTCTCTAAATTTTTAAAAGCAAATCAACCCCAATTTATTCAATC